TATTGTCCTCATTTGTAAGTCGCTTTGGATAAAAGCGTCTGCTAAATTATTAAATGTAAATGTCATAAACTAGGTTACATAGTGCATAGTTTAAGTGAATAGTGTGTCACTATAGGTACAGAGGTTCAAAAGCTGTACCTTATTTAACACTAAAGGCATGTTAGCACCTAAATGGTATGCAAACACACACACACACACACACACACACATACACATATGTATATATACCTATTTAGGTCAAAATGAACAAAATGAGAGCACAGGGGGGAAAAAACATTGAAAAAAGCCAAGTCAAAGTCAGTCTTTTTTATAATTATGAAAAAAAATCGCTTCATATATACAGTAGTCAACATTTGAAGTGCATCAAAAAAGTTAATCAAAGTTGTCCTAAGACAAGAACGCATTTTGGTTTTAAGTTTTAGGACAACTTTTATGAAAGGTTTTTATCCACTTCAAATGTTGACTAGTGTGTGTGTGTGTGTGTGTGTATATACCATTTGTTCTGAGAGTGTAGTATGTAATTTGGGACACAATTATATTGTTGTTGCAGCTATAATGCTAGAGTTTTGCTTTTTGGGGTGTTGCTATGCAGTTTCTAGGGTGTTCTGGGTAATTGCTGGGTGGTTGCCGGTTGCCAATAAAATATATATTTTTTCTTGCTTTATTATCCGTTAGTTATTGGCCAGAGTTTAATACTTGAATCTAAAGTATGCTTCCCATGTCTGTATTTTGCTGTGGTTCGCGGACAGTCCTTCAACACAGTTTGCTGATGTGTGAGTGTTTTGTGAGTGTTTCGCATTAAAAGAGGGTTCGTCGATTGTATACATCTGACGTGTTAAAATTTCAACAAAGCATTAAAATTTACCAAGATTTAAATTTTAAGAGAAAGTCTGTCTAACACGGCCATCTGACCTTAGCATATGGAGTATACTTTGAAACAGGGGCAGCATTTCTGTATGGCAGGGTATGGCAGATGGGACTCCACACCGATGGAACGCGATGCCATACATTATGGTTTTGTGAAACGCCACCACTGCATTGAAAGGCTTTCTGGAAACAGGCAGTTTTCAAACTTCCAAACACACAGATTTCACGTCGGGTTTAATTGGTCAGGTGAATTTGCAATGGTGACCAACAGAATGCTACATGGCTTGAAAATTTAGTTTGAAAAAGTTCAGATTTTACCAAAGCTTCCAAATGTACCAAAATGTAATATTGGGGGAAAAAATGACATCAGCTTCAGGTCTGTATATTAAAGGGTTAGTTCACCCAAAAATTAAAATTAGCCTGTGTTTTACTTTACTTTTACCCTCAAAGTATCCTAGGTGTATGTGACTTTCTTCTTTCAGATGAATCCCATCGGAGTTATATTAAAAATTGTCCTGGCTATTCTAAGCCTTTCAATGGGGGCAAGCGGGTGTTGGTTGTCAACAGTTCAGAAGACGTGAAATAAAGTGTGTGCATCCGTAATAATAACTTATTTTTGCTGCCAAATTCAGTCTTTTTCAATAGGACTGAGATTGGAAATTTCATCTGAGGGCAAACATTTTCCCATGCAGAGTTCGCATCTGGTTCAGTTGGTCTTGTAAATTTGCTGAGTTGACCAACAGAAAACTGATTGGTTTGAAAGAGTTCATATTTTCACCAAAGCTTCCAAATTTACCAAAATTTTACATAAAAATAACATCAGTTTCAGGTGTATATATTAAGAATAAAGGTGCGGTCCCATTTACTGTTGATCACTGAATTTTCACAGCCGAAATTCAGCAATTTCAACAGTAATCCATGTGCTTGGTAATTTCGCTTAAGGGCAAAATATTTCCCCATGCAGATTTTGCAACAGGTTTATTTGTTCACGCGACTTTGGTGTGATGACCAACAGACAACTGCTTGGTTTGACTTCTGTGTGAGCTGTGCTTTATACATCACTACACTATTGACAGTATACAATAGACCTCTTTCAGCTAAATTTCGGTAATGTGACAACACCTTAAAGCTTATATTAAAAGCACTAGTGTGCTGACACAAGGTCGGACCCCTAGAAGCCCATCTGACAACGCCTTGTTTGTGTAGGTCACTCTAGAAGAGGATCCCCTTTCTCATTTACAGCTGCTAAGAGCTCTGTGTGATTTGGCATCTCTCCCTTACTGCCCCAAACTGACCTCAATTGTAACCCAGGAACTTCAGCCTCTGTCTGGCCGCTCCAGTCTTTGAGTGGGCCACCAAATCACTCCTCTCACGAAGGAGAAGAGCGCTGGAATCACTCGAGTGTAAAAAGGCTGTACAAATCCTGCATTAGCACAAAGATGTCTGGAAAATAACGTGGCACGGCACCAAGCCATCTACGGTGAAATTAAAAAGTCTGTGGGGCTCGCCGAGTGAAGTTACTGACATTTTAATCAGAGATGTCGGCTGTGTGTGTTTTCACAAATAGGCTGATTTATTTTCGCCTGAGGACTCACAGTGGTCACCTTATTCCCAATTACAGGCTCCGTAGGGCTGGGTC